GTGGAGCACAGATCTAGTCCTGTAGAAGAAGTTCACAGATGAGTCGTGTTGGCAGAACTGGCAGTCGTAACAAAACATTCAATTAGTACAATTAACTGTGTTGGTGTAGAAAAAGAAGTACATGTACTGAACCTTATAAAAGACACATTTTTAATCAGTTTCTGCTATTAAAGAACATCTCTTCATAAGTTGGAATTTGAAAAGCAAATATGATTTTCTGTATTTGACCAAGTTGAATGTAAGTATCTTTTTAAAATCAAGTATATGCCTTAAACAGATTAAGTCAAAAATTATCCCACATACAGATAATTGGTTGCAATGGAAATGTTTGATGGATGTTTTCTAATGGTGACAGGAAAATGTCACAGTGTATAAAAGGTTGCTCTAAAGGAAGCACAAAACAGAGTTCTAAAACATTAATTCATGAAGACAGTTCAACAGTGGTGTCTGTCTCTTGCAGAGGATAATTAAATTCATTTTCAACATCTGTAAGGAAGGAGGCACAATTTGATGCATAATTGAAGACTTAAAAATTAAATCTGAAACATGGGAAACAAAATTAAAAGCCTTGAACTGTGTTTCATTGTTTTAATACTTTAATTTATATACAAAGACTGTAAGTTAATAAGGAAAATTCATGATTAGAACCTCCTGGGCAAGATTCAGATAGAGTGTTTGTGATGAGTTTGAATGAGCCCTAACCTCAGGTACACTGAAATACCAAGACTCCATGAAAATAATCAAAATGTAACAATATTGTTATGAAGTATATAGACAGTTTCTTGGCATATCCCCAGGCAGGAAGCTTCATGGAGTTTGCTGGAAACATCTGTGTTTTATGAATGCTTTATTGTTTTGGCAAGATACGGGAAAAATGTGTATTTTGGTTTGGGGAATGGAGAGTGTTTTGTTTACGATTAGAAATTCTGTAAGCATTTAATGAGAAAATCCCGTAGAAAACAGTAAATTTCCAATCTGTAGTTTAGCATCTCATGGTGAATGGGAAGAAGGCATAAGATGGGGCCTTGGGAAAAATTGTTTTTAATTCCCAGGTGTTCTTCTCTGGCTAAAAGGGATACTCATGTGCTTGAAGTTCAGTATACACACATGTCTTTGGCTGAACTGAAAGCTTTATCGAATGTGCAGACTTCAGATATATCCAACCTTGTGCATATTGCACAAACAAAATATTTTATATTTTACCCAATACTTGGTAAAAATAAATAAATAAATAAAATCCATCCACTAAAAGTACTTTAATTTTTTCAGCTATTACAATTGTGATTACCTAGCACAGTGTGATTAAAATACAGGTGCTGAATGCACAGATGTGACCACAAGCAGCCATTTTGTCAAGTTTTTCCTCAGTGTCTAAGAGCACTGGCATTAAAGACCTCTTCCAGTGAAGGCTAGAGAGGCTGCCCAAAGGCAGCTTGGCACTGAGTGCCTCCAAGTGCTTTGCTGTGACTGCAGAAATAATGCAGTAACTTCTGTGTCTACCTTAATTGGGCTAAAAGCTTCAGAAACCCTTATCACATAGTGCTGGACTTGTCAAAATGCTGAGGAGAAGCCAGAAAAAAAGCAAAAGGAGAGATTTTTAGCAAGATGTATGTATATGCATAGAATTGTTGCAAAACAAATCCTCTCTTGGAAAATCAGCCACTTGCAAATGGCTCTCTGGAGCTGGGGTTGATGTAGATCAGGTGCAGGCTGTAAGGAAATGTTTTGATTTTGGCTTTCCTACTTTGTCTTCTGTCTTATTCTGCCCATACTCTTTCCTGGCACAGATAAAACATATAAAAAATAGACAAAATCACAGTCTCTTTGTTTTTCTGACTTTTTTTCTCTCCTTTCCTAAGATAGAATTTTAAATGTCAGCCTTTCAAAATGTGGCATTTTCAGAGAAGTGTTATAGCCTGGATCTTACTGAAAAGAAAGTGCTTTTCCAGTTCAAAGGGCTTTAAAACAAAACAGAAAAAGCTAAGACAAATGAAAGAGGCTGTGGGAACAGCAGCTCAAGTTCTTCTCCAATTAGATTTTCAGATGTCTCTGTCAGCATCTTTTCTCCCGGAGGAATTTGGAAGAAAATTTGAAATCTAAATCCTGCATATGTTGGAAATGGCTCCCTTCCCTGGCAGCACCTGTAGACACTATAGGTTTCATGGCTATAGAGAAAAATGAAGATGAGAAGAAAAATTTGTTAGAAACTTGACTCTTGCTGAAACAGGGCTGTTCTAATGTGGTATCACACTTTTCATCTTCTCTGCTACTTCAGACATGCAGAGGAAGATACCTTGTCCTGAAATATATCTCAACTGCCTGACCTCAAATATATTCAGATATGATAAAGCCAGCGGGGTCACTATGGCAGTGTGGTTTTAATCATGCAGACTGCTTTTGTCCCAGCAGTATGGCTTTGCTGAATAATTTTTGAATGTGTCATCTCTTTTCAGTTTAAAAAAAAAAAAAAAAAGAAAAAAGAAAAAAAAAAGGAAAAAAAATTAAAACTCTAGCAATGATGGGCATCGACTAACTGGAAGAGCTTTTAAGGGTCCTTCAGAAAACTGTTGTATACTCACCTTTGTCTGTGGAGGCAAATCCTGTTTGGTGCATGTTGGCTCTGACACAGAGCTTGAAGTCAAAATACCACAGAACAGTGGTAGATGTGGCACTGAGGGACACGTTTTGGTGGGCATAGTGATGACGAGTCGATGGTTGGATTTGGTGATCTTAGAGGCCTTTTCCTACCTTTATGTTTCTATGATTCTATCTTGTTTGTAACTTCGCACATCCTCTTTCATATAACTTGTGTCACGTAGGGACTTTACTGTCTGTACCTTCAGGACTTGGAGAGAAATGGCATGGGGTATCTCTAGGAAGCTCCAGGCACGTGCTTTTGTCAGGGGATGCCTTTCTCTCCACATATTCAATCTGCGATACTCCAGAGCAGAGCAATGCAGTTATTTTTGTCTCATCTCTTTGGAAGCAGCTGAGCTTCCAGCAGGGTGCCAGGGCAGTGTAATGAGTACCGCTTTAACCTCTACAAACAGTGTCTGGAACAATTTATCTCTCTTGCTATCCTGAAGTAGAGCTCTGCTGCCCCCACTTCCCATTCAGCCATGCTTCCACCATTTCTGTCTTCACAACAAGCGATAAAAAGACTGAAGGAACATGAGGAATGTGAATGATTCTGTTCCAGTTCTCTCATACTCATACATTTCCCTTTCTGATGTGAAAACCTGCCTGATTCCGAGCATTTACATGGGTACCTTTTCTGGGCATTCAGAGGACTGTTTCTATCTCAGAGCAGTAGGGGAAGAAGGGAACCGAAGTAAATTAAGTGTATTTTCAGCCAGTTTTATGGACTGTCCTTGGCTATTATTTTAGTGACGTTCTTGCAGACAGTGGCAGCTGCCTCGCGATTAGCCTGGTTGTGAGCTGCTACATAGCAACAAGGAGCTGGGACATACCCCATGTAGGCATCATGTGGAGCCTCCAAGTGGCACTCCCAAAAAGAGAAAGAGTGCTTTAAACTGAGACAAGATTCTACGTCTCACCTGAGGGACAGGGCAGCCATGTGGCAGCCATACTTGCTATACAGGTATACATGTAGGCTGATTTTGGTCATGAGAAGCTGCCCTTACCAGAGGCATATCACTGGCTTGTGATATCAGAAAATCTTGTGTTTCAAGCATGTAAGACATGGGTTATCTTTCATTTTTGGGGGGCTTTTCTAGTGTTTTGTTTGTTTGTTTGTTTTGTATACGGTTGAGACTTACTTCTCTGTCTGTTAAACTAGCTTGCAAACAAAAAATCAGAAACTTGCTTTTTGTCTGGAAAGCATGAATGAAAGAATGAAGAAATGATATCACCCTCCTCTTTTGGGTTTTAAATTTCTTTTAGGACCGTGTGGCTTTGACATTTGACAAGACCACATGCAGCAGGCTGGAATTCAGTTTCAGGAGCAGAAGATTAAAACCTGCTCTAGGATTGGTTTACATTAAAGAGTCTGGCATGAATAACACAGATCTCTGATATCCTTGGCTTTGGTTTAAACTTTATCCCCCCAGCTGTGGATTATATTTATTTACTTATTGTAATTTATTGTAACAGCTCTGAAACCTGCTAGATTAGCAGCCCAGGAGAATAATGTCACAGAGTGGCAGTCTGAGTTGTGCTACAAACCCACTCTGATAGGATTATCTCTAGGCAGGAGGAGAAGAGTTTAATCAGCCTTGTCAATTCATTAGCTCTCCTCTTCTGAGGCAGTCACAAAGGGTGCCACTTAGTGTCAGTGGTGTTGGTAGCTATTTTGAAATAAATACAAATCCAGCTCACTTGAAATCAGGCCGCTGAACAAGTTGTAAGCTCCTGTAAGCGGTTGTTATCAGGTGAGACTGAAGAGGTTCTTTTAACACCCTGCTGCTTTGATAGGGTTGACCCTTCCCTGAGGACTTCTCAAAGTTCCTTCTTGCACTGTTCTGTCTATCTACTTTTTATGATTTAAAATGCAAAACGCATAATGTGAGTTGTTCCAAAGACTCCCGAGGCAAACAGTTACCCACATCCTTAGTGCTTGCTGAGAGTCACTCCCACTACAACACTGCTCTTCATGATAAGGAAACCTGGGAAAGGAGCTGGTATGTTTACAAATAATGCCTATCTTTCCTGACAGGTAGGAAAGCAAGGCTACAGCATACACCTTCAGTAATACTTCACCTTTGATAATGCAGCTGAGTTAACCTGAAGAAGGATCACTTTCTCTCCAGTGTCTGCTGTGTAAGTTGATGAAGTGACCTCTGCTAACATCAGGAATGTGAATATGCTCTGGATGGTCTACATCACTCCGCTGATTCAGTCTCTTGCAGTCATTTTCTATAGCTCCCACCAGGACTCCTGCTGACATCAGAGGCTGTGGACTGATCTTCTAGGAAGTCTCTTTCAGAAAAAAGAAAAAAAAAAAAGTATATTCTGACCCTTTCTTTTTTCTGTCACTACAGGGAGACCTCCAAAGATCCCTCATTCAAGTGGATTTTGGCGACGGCACCGCTGTTTCATATGCCAATCTCAGCTCAACAGAAGATGGGATCAAACACACCTACCAGAACGTGGGCATATTCCGAGTCACCGTGCTGGTGGAAAACAGCCTGGGATCTGACAATGCTGTCCTCTACCTGCACGTAACATGTATGTATGTTCATACTCATTGTTAGCTTCTGTCATTCCTAGAAAAAATTATCACTTGCTCTGAGAGATGATGCTTGGACTTTGTATGTGGGAGGATGAAATGATGGCAGATAGTGAGGGTTTGACCTCCAACAGAGGACTTCAGAATGAGAGGGGACATGAGAAATAGCAGTTTGTTTTTTGAACCGTGTTTAACCTCTAACTTTGGGAGGTCCAATCTGAGACACCTCAGAGTATTATCTTTCCCTTTCTGAAATGCACTGTCGTTAGCATGTTTACAGTGCCAGAAAAATAAAGACATCTTTAATCACTTTTAAAAACCTTGACTTTCACTTTGTACAGTGTTTTGCCCTTTAATGAAATGCAGACACATTTGGGATGGAAACTTGTGCATTTCAGTCTTTCTGTTGTCATAGGAACCAAAATCCTGGTGTTAAAAGAGTATAACAAGAAAAAATGTTATCTTCACATTGCTCTTTTGCTATTCTTTTCAACCTTTTTATATGTCAGCTCTCTCTGATTTACACCTAAAATGTATCTCGGTCCTTGTATAAAACCAGCAATGTGTTCTTTCATCTTTATTCTCGCACATGCCTGTGAATCCATAATGTTTAACTGTTACTGAAATTTTGTAGTATCTCTGATAGATTTTGTTTGGGGCCATAATTTGTTTTACGTAGTGTAATTATTTTCTTTTGTTTGTTTATTTTGTTATTTTTGTTGGGTTTTGTTAATTACTTGTATTTCAGGCTTTATATCTATGCGACGGATTTATTGAAGAAAAAAAAATTTAAAAACTTAGTTATTTTTATTTATGTTATGCTTATAGAAATACTACTTAGCCTCTACCAAAGTAATTCCACATATTGCCTAGATAATTCAGCACATTCCACATTCTGTGAATCTGGTTTTGGAGTTACTTCACTTAGCATGAAATCAGGTGCATCTTTAGGGGAATAGGGCAGTTCTCTAATGGTGCACAGGTCGTATCAACAGATGGGACCAGTGGGAGTTGTAGGTGTAGGAGACAGGAGGTGTATGTGGGAGTGTGATGGGAACAGGAACAAATACCTCCCTGAACTTCTTCCTTGAAAAATACCTGAAGTTAATGAGCATAATGTACCATTTATGATTCCCTTACTTGATACTGGTCTGCCATAAACTTTTATGTCACAGAGTCCTTCAGCAGCGTTGTATGTTTGAAAAACTCCTATCTACCTTGCAAAAAAGAACTCTGCTGATAAATCAGATTGTTATCAAGCTTTGGTTCCTTATTTGTATATTTATCCTGTATTGCTTCTTCTTTGAGGCACTGGTGAGGCAAGGTAAGGTCTCAGCTTTTAGATAGCTACTGTTTTTTTGGTTGGTTGGTTTTGTTATACTTTTTTGAGAATCACTGTATGATAGAAAAGGAACTCTGCTCAGAGTAGATGTTTATATGCTTTCATATAATTTCTTCACCAACTGAGGAAGCACAGGTTTGGTCCAGTGCAGAGTGCCCCTGTCTGCAGAGGAGAGGTTCTGGAGTAACATTGCAGTTTGCCTTCCTGCTTGTGCTTGGATGCTTAGCAGGGGAGCTGCAGGATGCAGCAACCCCCCTCCTTCTGCTGCTGGTTATGAAAATCACCTCAACACAAGCAGGGGTCATCTTTTTTTTTTTTTTTCCAGTCTGTGTAAAAGGTCACTGGAAACAAATGGAGCAGTTAATATTTCACAAGAGGTTCTGACAGCCTTCTGTGAACAGGGTTGGTAATCGTTTGCTGTTTGACAACAAAGGTCCATGGGGACCTTTGCACACGCTCAGCCTATCTGCACAGTAATGAGCCCACACAACAATAACCACTCTGTCATGCAACCACAAAATAGAAGAAGAAGGCAGGGTGGCCCTCACCATTACTCGTATTGGCTTTCTGGGTTGTAGCTGATTTAATTCATTTTCTCGAGCCATAGAAGGCTTAAGAACTGTTTTGATTGTTTTAAAATACAATTAAGAAACAATATCCAGATGTCTTCATGCTACTAAGCAGCTGATAAAGCATATATTTCTGTGTTGTGTTTAGATAAAGTCAATATGTGACTTAAATATGTCACTGCATGATCATTGCAGCCAGGCCTAGATTATACGTGCCTGACCCCCAGAGAAGCCACAGCCTGAAAGATGTGTTTCACCTTTCTCTATCTGAGAAGAATTAGGGACCTCAGAGCAAATTACAAAGTGAGTATGGTGCCATTCAGACTGGCAATAGATTGGCTGAAGCCAATTTATTGTACAGTAAATTCATAAAGCCTAATGTCCAGATCCACAAAAGCTTCCAAATCTTTGGAAATACTTGCTTTGCCTCTCAGCTCTCTAATGAGCAAGGCTACTTTATTTAGCTCAGGGTGCATAAGCATGAATTTGGCCTCTGGGAAGTCTTGTAAGAATACGTGACCTGACAAGAAAAACAGTGTGCTGCTAAGATACACAGGAAAGCAACATGCAGCCTGAGCTTCAGGAAAGTTGTAGAAGTGGCACTAAATGGGGGACCTCTTGTTACAGACCTGATATATGAGTGTGAGCAACCTTGGGCCTTCCAGCATCCTTCCTTACCTGTGACCAGCAGCTTTGTTGAGAACAAAGCTACAGGTGCTAAGCCACAGAGTTTGTGATCTCCACAATAAGAGGAAAGCTTCTTTCTAACAGCCCTGCTCATCCTGCTGCAGCCCCTTTGCTGCTGTTCCAGAGCTCCACAGATGCAGGTTATTGTGAGGCAGGAGTATTTTGTTATGCATGGACTGCGCCTTGTATAATGTATATACATTGAAATAAGTCTCTACAAACTTATCTGGAAAGATGCAGTCTCCTAGCAGTTAAGAGCCCATCCAGAATGAGCTATCCCCATCTGCTGGCCAGATAATAGTTCAGCATTTCAGCCACTTTGACCCATCAGCTATTTGTAGAGAAATGCTGAGGCAGAATTGGCTTGTTAAAGCCATTCTTTCATGTTCTTTCTAAGCAAGCACATGGCACAGGTCTGAGGAGGGGCGGGATATCCTTTGCAGTATGGTCTTTTAAGCTGTATTCAGAGCAACTGTGCAGTTATTTTGGATTTTAGGCAGGTGTCATTGTCACTACTGTCACCACATCAGGTGTGAGGAAATGTATTCCTTTAGAGGTCAGTGCTGGTGGTTCTTGGCATTTGGCAAACATCCCAAAGGAAATCAGAGCTGCAAAATATTCAGCTTGGGAAGCTGCCATTTCTCAGTTCTTAGTGTCTTGTAGGTCACAGAAACATGCCTGAGCAGGGAAATTCCATTAAAATCAGAAGGATGAAATTCCGGCTTCTCAAGAATTTATAAAAGGGACTGCTTATTATTGAAGGAAAAATGAGTTCAATCTGGTCTATAGCAGTCTATGGTTAGTTCCATCATGAGTGACTCTTAATGGGGGCTGCGTTAGGTTAATCAGTGGCTGAGTCTATATCACAAAGAATTCTGCATTTTAGTAATGAATCAGAAAGAGTGGTTCTCGTTTATACTGGCATCGCTTATACAGTCTGGTTTGGGTGAATTTTTTCATGCCTCTCTGCACGTGTGTGAGGCAGGGTCATGGGATGTTTGCTCTAAAATGTTCAGTGTTTCTTCAGGTTGGAAAACCAAGTTCTAAGTGATGATACATGCATATGATGTTTTCAGAAAAATCCTCTCCTAAGATATAAAAGATCCTTTAGCAAAGCACCTCAATTTCACATGGACCACACAGTCGACCCTCTCAGGCTGTGGTCTCCACTTCTCATCACTTAGAAGCTCACAGATGTAGGAAGTGAATTTTACTTGTTTTAGAAACCCATGTCCCCATATCACCTGGGAAGTCTTTCTTTTTTTTTTCTCTGCCAGTTTTAGAACAATTGCTTTGTTCTCTAAGTGAACAGTCAGAACACGTTTTAAAAAATAATCTAGAGGACAAGACGCAATAACAAAGGCCCATCTGTCTCCAGAAGATGAGAAATGTGTAACCCTGGGCATAATGTCACTTGTCAAATGAATTATGTTCTGTTTATATTAAAAAATAAAATAGTTTATTGTGGAAAAGAGGGAGTATAAGGTAACATAAAATGAAAGCAGTCAGTGAATAACTGTGTTCAGACAGAATTTCATCCAGTATGAATAGATACAGTATTACTGAAGTTCACCAAATCATAATAATTTGCATCAACAGAGATGCTCCATGTCAACTGAAGCCATTTGTCCTGCACATTCTTATGTCTTCTTAATGAAGACCCTGTTCACATATCTGGGCTCTGCTTCTATTGTTTAAGTGGCATAATATATAATGTTCCTGGATATTTGACATCCATGCAACAAAGAACCCAAGATTTTAGCTCTGGTACAGGTGTGATAAATGTCATGCCCTGTGGTGATTTAAGACACTATTTCCTCAAACCAGTGGGTCTCCCCTCAGGTCCCCTCTATCCCAAGGTGGTATTCCACAGGGAGGGACTCTCACCTTGTATCTGTCTCTGCAGGTCCCTTGGAACATGTTCATTTATCTCTTCCATTTGTTACCACGAAGAACAAGGAGGTCAATGCCACGGCAGTACTGTGGCCAAGTCAAGTGGGAACACTTACTTACATCTGGTGGTTTGGGAACAACACAGAGGTTTGTATTCCCTATGGACTTATATCAAAACAATCAAGGAGGAATTTTGACTGGGAAAGGAGGAAGAGAAGGGTCTGAAAATGCTTCTAAATGGTCCTCCACACAGGAAAACTGCAAGTCAGAGGAAGAGACACTAACTCTTAGATCTTTGATGTACCAACATTGAAATATAGGAACCATTTTGTGATTACTGCTGTGACTTAGCTGCAGGTTTATTGCCATTTCATGCAAATTGTCAGCAGCTTTGTACTGGCATTTTCATCCAAGGTAGATGTATAGAACCAAGGTCCCAAAGAGCTTCTAGTATGCGTTTTTCCTCACTCACTATAAAAGCAATAACAAAAGCTGAAAATAGCATACAACACATTCTGCTGCCTCTGTGCTTGCAGAGAGTTAGTAAATCTGCACTGGCATTGCAACTGTTATTGTAGGTACCTTTATGGCAGAGGTACCCAGGCACCCTTATTAATCTCTAAGGGGGGAGATTCTCGTGGCTTTTGTAGGGCTGAGATGGGCTTTCAACCACATGTTTTTCTTCTGTATAATGCAGGTCAGAGGATTGCATCAACACTTCCTGCTTTATTTACCTCTTTGTGATTAAAGCAGAATTTGAATTTCTTGTTGCTTTGTCCCTCAGATAATGGAAAATTCACTGCTTCTTTCTTACCCTCTCCCCCAGCTTTTTCCCCACAGCTAATTATCTTGAGTGTTAAACATATGCCCTGTGTTTGTAGTCTGAATTTATCTAGCTCTGGTTTCAAGCTGCTGGATCTTGTTATATCTTTGTGTGTAGATTAAAGGACTCTGTTGTATCAGAAATCGTCTCTCCCTTGAGGTACTTACAGGCTCTGATTCTCACCTTTTAACCTTCCTTCTGATCTTCTAAGCTCGTAAGTGATCAGAGTTGGTCTAACTCTGTTCTCATTGAAGTGAGAATTTTACTACAGACTACAATGGGAACAGAGTTTGACTTAATACTGTGCTTTGAAGACCTCATCCAGAGTTCATTAATAAGCGAAAACAGAAGTGAGGGCAGAGTCTATTGAAAGGCAGCACAGCTCACTGATTTACTGGTTTGCACAGCAGACCAAACTGAGGGGATCTGCGTTCTCTCTAAAATCCATCCTTTTCCAAAAGCAGCATCTCCACATCTAGGGATAATGCAGGAGAGCAATTGACAAATGTTGATTTGCCTCCTCGTTCTGCCACAACCTCCTTAAATACCTTAAACAAACCACAGCTAGATCTGGGAAAGGAGTGTGACGTTGGAGAAGCGAGTCTGGTGGGCCCTCCTATTAATTAGGATCTGCACCTCTCTGGAGAGTGAAGCAAAGACACTTTAACATGGGATTCCAAGCAGACAGCATGCTCAGCAGAAAGCCACCTGGAAACAGATACTGAAGAATAGCAGTAAAAAGAAATTTAGGCATCCTGAGCAGTCTCCAGAAAATTGGCTTCCAGGTCACACGATCCTTCCTACATCTAAGTTTGCAAATGGAACTAATTCCCCAAACCATCCCAATAGGCCAAAGAGCCAAACTCATCTTTGTTTTTCCCTTACAGCCAAACTAACTTCTTTTCTCTTCTTCTCATGTATTTGCAGCCACTGATCACTTTGGAAGGGAGCATCACGTTTACATTTTCTGTGGAAGGGATGAATACCATCACTGTTCAGGTCTCAGCAGGAAACACCATTCTTCAGGACACAAAGACCATCGCTGTGTATGGTGAGCCCTTCTCCCTTTGTTTTGCATAGGATTCTTCATAATCAAGAGCTAAAGATGCAGGCAGCAATATAAGGTCTTAATTCCAAGATACTTTGAGCGAGGTTGTAAGCTCACTTCCAGTGATATCAATTCAGCATAATGCCTCTGACTGATGTTAGTCCAGACTGAGACAATTGCAGAGTGTTGACTGTCTTCCCAGAACCCTCTGTGTCAGATCTATCAATCACTATATGTTAGTCCAACACAATTATAAAAATTTTAGGCTGCTTGCAAGCTGGTTTCCTCTTCTCGGCCAGTAGAGGCCTCTTTACTCACACAGAAGCTGCCTGGCTGAAATTCAAAGCCAATGCAGCGTGGTGCAGTCCTATACAGAAATCTGCACTGCTCTGATATTGTACTCAGGCTTCAGAAACAGTTACAACAAACAAATGCCATATAGTATGGAGGTGGTCCAGGAACCACTGGAAATTCCCTAAGCATGTAGTGAAAGTGATCAGCGTGAGCGTCTCTGTTAGCAAAAGCAAAGATTAAGAAGCATTTTTTCCAAGGCTGTCCAGTTAAGATTTCAAGCGTTTGGAACATGTCCATGAGAATATAATCACGGCTTCCTTTGCAGAGTTTGTCTTCTTCAGAAATCAAGAAGGTAGCATTTATATTCTCTTCACAGCTCCCCTTCCAATGCTGTTCACCTTTTAAAAGTAAGGACCTATCACCTTTTTCAGTTTTGTGACACTTGAGCAGTGAATCACTCTGATTTACTGCTGGATTCTCTGACACGGTATGGATCACTTGCAGATTGATTAAGAAAAGCAAAACACAAACTGCAGCAGGTTTCATGAAGTTCTGTTCATTCAGCACAAAGACATTTTCAGATGTCTTACCACTGCATCATTGTATCTGCAGAGCAATTTCGGTCCTTGCGGTTATCCTTTTCCCCAAATCTGGATGACTACAATCCAGATATCCCAGAGTGGAGAAGGGACATCAGCCGAGTAGTCAAGAGAGCTCTGGTGGAGGTAAGCAATGTGCATAAGCTGTCTTATGGTGGCTCACTTTTTGCTTTCTGCTTACATTAGGACTGAATAAATTGTTCTTTCAAGGTGTCTCTCTGTCTCTTGCAACTATGAAAGGGGATAGATGAGTGTTTGAGTCCAGAATCCTAAATTTTATACAAGTGAAATGATCCCATCCTATGACAATCTAGTGCTAGGAGTCAGACTTCACTTTATTCTTTTTAATGGAATATTTCAGAGAAGAGGGCATCTAGAAAAACAAATTACTTGTGTGCGCGCTTAGCTTTACAAATGTCTTTTCTGTTGCATTGCAATCCTTCTTTTACTGCTGTACTTATACAGCAGTGGAAAGCAATGCTCTTCTAAGTTTCCTACAGCATATTTGTAATTCTATTAGAAGACCAAGGAGAAAATAATTTTCACTACTAAGAAGAGCACCCAAGTATGTACTTTATATTTTTCATATAGCATGAGTTTCATGGGTGAAGATGGGTGCTATTTCTCCCACCAACACTATGGAGAAGCTCTGAAGTTCCTCCTCTTACCGCAAAACAGAATGCCATAAAAACATTGTTTGTTTGAATATCTGGATTTCAAACCAAGAGGCAGAGAAATGTACGCTAGAGACAGGTGTGTGGCAGTTTCGCAGCTCAGCAGAAAAACAGGAACTATTCAAAAGACCTAGATTAATGTCTTTCCAGCCTTTTTGCATAGATGGTGTCATGAATAAAAAGCTTGCTAATAACATCCACAACCTTTGTTTCCATTCAAAATTTGAGAAATACCATTTTTTAAAAAAGCAGAAATTTGTCTGAATCCTTACTGGAGGGTTTTTTCCTTCAATTCCCTGAAAAAGCAGGTGGAGAGGAGGAAAGTAAAAAAAAAAAAAAAAAAAAAAGAAAGAAAGAGACCACAAAAAAATCCCCCACTTTTCTGAAGCTTGTCCTTTTGGCTTGTTTATGTCTGTATCAAGTACTCAAGGTTCCGTTTATCTTCAGGATGAATTTTGAAAATATAAACTACTCAAAAGAAAATCAAGCCATGAAAAAAAGGATTATAAAATCACAATCGTAGGGGTTGGACGGGACCTCCAGAGATCATCGAGTCCAACCCCCCTGCCAAAGCAGGCTCCCTACACCAGGTCGCACAGGTAGGCGTCCAGGCGGGTCTTGAATATCTCCAGAGAAGGAGACTCCACAACCTCCCTGGGCAGCCTGTTCCAGTGCTCCGTCACCCTCACCATAAGGAAGTTCTTGCGCACACTGGTGCGGAACTTCCTATGCTCCAGCTTCTGGCCATTTCCCCTTGTCCTGTCTCTGCACACTGCTGAAAAGAGTCTGGCCTTGCCACTTTGCCCCCCACACCTTATATATTTACAGACCTGGATCAGGTCCCCTCTCAGTCTTCTCAAGGCTAAACAGACCCAGTTCACTTAGCCTTTCTTCATA